CGTAATAGATTATTTATAGTGTCTAATAACAACGGACAAAACAGATTATTTATAGTGTCTAATAACAACGGATGTAATAGATTATTTATAGTGTCTAATAACAATGGACGTAATAGATTATTTATAGTGTCTAATAACAATGGACGTAATAGATTATTTATAGTGTCTAATAACAACGAACAAAATACATTATTTACAGTGTCTAATAACAATGGACGTAATAGATTATTGGATAGTGTCTAATAACAATGGACGTAATAGATTATTGATAGTGTCTAATAACAATGGACGTAATAGATTATTTATAGTGTCTAATAACAATGGACGTAATAGATTATTATAGTGTCTAATAACAACGGACGTAATAGATTATTCGATAGTGTCTAATAACAATGGACGTAATAGATTATTTATAGTGTCTAATAACAACGGACGTAATAGATTATTTATAGTGTCTAATAACAATGGACGTAATAGATTATCGATAGTGTCTAATAACAACGGACATGATAGTTTATTTCTAAAATAAGTCGGACCAGAAATCAAAAATCGTTAACTGAAGTTACTTATTAATGTGGTACTAAACGCTCACTAAAACAATGCTGGAAATTATCGTTACAGAATAAATACACGATAAATATGCCATGAGCTTAACAGATTCCCTTCTGCCTCAAATTTCAGTTTGTACGGGACTGTGTATTTGACTGAGAAAAAGAAATTTCTACATACATACAACTGGTCATTCCACCCACTATACTAAACTCTAAAATAAAAATAAAACACTAAATGCCAACAATTGCATCTTACATCTATTATACTGGACCAGCCAGTCCCTATCTTGTTCTCATCGCTAATACCATCACGTTGAAGAACAACTCCATTGTGGACACCATTGGCAGTTTGTACTTCATCAGCAACAACCCACACCTGAAAAAACAACCAACAGCATTAGTAAACAACCTCCTGTTTCCAGTTGGTGAACAACCTCTTATTTCCAACAGTGTTAGTAAACAACCTCCTGTTTCCAACAGTGTTAGTAAACAACCTCCTGTTTCCAACCGTGTTAGTAAACAACCTGCTGTTTCCAACCGTGTTAGTAAAAACCTGCTGTTTCCAACCGTGTTAGTAAACAACCTGCTGTTTCCTAACAGTGTTAGTAAACAACCTCCTATTTCCAATAGTGTTAGTAAACAACCTGCTGTTTCCAACAGTGTTAGTAAACAACCTCCTGTTTCCTACAATGTTAGTAAACAACCTCCTGTTTCCAACAGTGTTAGTAAACAACCTCCTGTTTCCAACAGAGTTAGTAAACAACCTCCTGTTTCCAACAGTGTTAGTAAACAACCTCCTGTTTCCAACCGTGTTAGTAAACAACCTGCTGTTTCCAACCGTGTTAGTAAAAAACCTGCTGTTTCCAACCGTGTTAGTAAACAACCTGCTGTTTCCAACAGTGTTAGTAAACAACCTCCTGTTTCCAACAGTGTTAGTAAACAACCTCCTGTTTCCAACAGTGTTAGTAAACAACCTCCTGTTTCCAACAGTGTTAGTAAACAACCTCCTGTTTCCAACAGTGTTAGTAAACAACCTCCTGTTTCCAACAGAGTTAGTAAACAACCTCCTGTTTCCAACAGTGTTAGTAAACAACCTGCTGTTTCTAACAGTGTTAGTAAACAACCTGCTGTTTCTAACAGTGTTAGTAAACAACCTGCTGTTTACGTTATACCTGTTTCAGAACCTTATTGTTAACATCTGTTTCTAACAGCCTTTTCATTCATCACCACTTCTATTAATGTTCATGTCTTCTTCTAACACAATCTGATTCTTCTTGATATATTTTATTAGATATCTAATCCAACTGTTCACACATACTTCCTACCTGATCGTGAGGGCCTACAGAGAAGTCTTCACACATACTTCCTACCTGATCGTGAGGGCCTACAGAGAAGTCTTCACACATACTTTATACCTGGTCATGAGGGCCTACAGAGAAGTCTTCACATATACTTCCTACCTGATCATGAGGGCCTACAGAGAAGTCTTCACACATACTTTATACCTGATCGTGAGGGCCTACAGAGAAGTCTTCACACATACTTCCTACCTGATCATGAGGGCCTACAGAGAAGTCTTCACACATACTTTATACCTGATCATGAGGGCCTACAGAGAAGTCTTCACACATACTTTATACCTGATCATGAGGGCCTACAGAGAAGTCTTCACACATACTTTATACCTGATCATGAGGGCCTACAGAGAAGTCTTCACACATACTTCCTACCTGATCAGTGAGGGCCTACAGAGAAGTCTTCACACATACTTTATACCTGATCATGAGGGCCTACAGAGAAGTCTTCACACATACTTCTTACCTGATCTTGAGGACCTACGGAGACCATTCGTATGTTGCTTGATATCTTTTTCCAACAAGTTCCCTCTGGAAACATGGGCACAATCTCTTTCCTGAACCACAAGTTTTTTTCTTCATCAACCGCAAACACTGAAGTTTTCCCAGCAGACACCTGCTGTAGCGGAATTGACGTCTGTGGAGGCTCTACGTGAAACCACACATGACCTATAAGGAACAAGGCAGCACATTTGTTTGGATTTAAACTGTACATCCTTGTCAGTTAACTAAGCTACACCTGATCTATAAGAAATAAGGCTGTGTTGGAATTCACACTGTACATCACTTAACTTTTTATAAAAACCTTATATTTTACCTATACAACTTATTAGATATCACCATGTTTACGTGTTATAGTTATTACAGAACACAAACATATAACCATGTTTACCTGTTACAGTTATTACAGAAAACAATCATATCACCATGTTCACCTGTTACAGTTATTACAGAACACAATCATATCACCATGTTTACCTGTTACAGTTATTACAGAACACAATCATATCACCATGTTTACCTGTTACAGTTATTACAGAACACAATCATATCACCATGTTTACCTGTTACAGTTATTACAGAACACAAACACATCACCATGTTTACCTGTTACAGTTATTACAGAACACAATCATATCACCATGTTTACCTGTTACAGTTATTACAGAACACAAACATATAACCATGTTTACCTGTCAAACAGTTTTCTGAAACACCATTTCTCAACATAGCTGAGCCATCTCTAGTGATTCCCCAAACTCGAAAGTTCCCTCCAACACTGATAGCTTGAAATGGTACATCAGCAGGAACATGAGTCCAAGATATTCCCTGAAAAAAATATATAACAATGTATCCAAGATATTTCCTGAAAAAAATATATGACAATGTATCCAAGATATTACCTGAAAAATATATAACAATGTATCCAAGATATTTCCTGAAAAAAATATATGACAATGTATCCAAGATATTACCTGAAAAATATATAACAATGTATCCAAGATATTACCTGAAAAAAAATATATAACAATGTAACCAAGATATTCCCTGAAAAAATACTACTATACATGGTCATGATCCTACTATACACATGGTCATGATCCTACTATACACATGGTCATGATACTACTATACACATGATCATGATACTACTATACTCATGGTCATGATAATACTATACACATGGTCATGATACTACTATACACATGATCATGATACTACTATACACATGATCATGATACTACTATACACATGGTCATGATACTACTATACACATGATCATGATACTACTATACACATGATCATGACACTACTACATACATGGTCATGATACTACTATACACATGGTCATGATACTACTATACACATGATCATGATACTACTATACACATGATCATGATACTACTATACATGGTCATGATACTACTATACACATGGTCATGATACTACTATACATGGTCATGATACTACTATACACATGGTCATGATACTACTATACATAAACCAATTTTTCAGATGTTTACTTAACTCAGGATTACATACGTTCTAAAACTTACATACACAAAACAATTTGTTCAGATGTTTACTTTACTTACCTCAGGATTACCAGCAGTGACCCCAACTCTGCAAAGAACATCACCATTTACATCCACTGCCCACAAAGCAACTGGTTCACCTGGAGTCTTGGAGTGATCTACCTGAAGAGATATATCGACCAATGGTGGCGAGGACAGCTCTTCCCAGGGTCCTGATGTGATAAGTTTGCACTTCCTGTAACGATATATTTTCTGTTAGAAGATGCAAGCATGAAATATATCTAACCCTTATACTTTTCATAACATTACACTACAATTAAATCACAACACACACTGTTTCATGTGAAAACTACCTAAACCTAAAGTTCACACAACACTAACTCTTATCAAAGTATAACTTTCCTCCAGATGAAATAATCCCAACAACAACCAAAGCCTCAAGTATGTATAACATTCTAACATTTCAGTCACCTGTACCACCTTTCAACGTCTATAATAACATTCTGACTATACTCACCTGTACCACCTTTCAACATCTATAATAACATTCTGACTATACTCACCTGTACCACCTTCTTCTCCGAACATAATCAGTAAAACCTTTATAAGAGTGATAAGAAAACGGAAAGTCTGCTGCATATTGCCAACCCTCTTTGTCAACACCACCAGGTGTTCGGAAGTCCACGGCCCAATCCGATATCTAGGGTTACATTTAAAAACCAATAAATCTTAAAATAAAATCGTCTAGACAGTAACACACGGTTACGAGACCAATCGTACATTAAAATACATGATTTAACAGTTTGTATAAATAATGGATGGTACAGTTTTTGAACACACTTAATATTTACTGTCACTAACATCATTCAAGTCAATCTGAATACATCTACAAACTTTCATTAAAGTCAGCTCTAAAACACTTACCCACTGCCAGTGAACTGATGGTAGCTTAGTGTTCTCTTTGGTACACTCGAGACGACCAGTTTTGTCACTCCACATGTAACGATCTGTAGGAAGTCTTCTGGCGGAGAAGCCAGTCAGAGGGTTCCATCTCTGATTTTCATACACAAAGCAGTATAGAGTATCTGTCATAGGATGAACTTTCATGTTGCACCCAGACCTGCCTGTTAAAGAAACAGATTATCAGAATTTAAGCGGTTCTCAAAACAAGTGTAAATGAAGTAACTTCACACGTGTTGTTTAATGTTAATTTGCTTTATCAAAGTGTTCACAACCAGATTTTTTGAAACAGTTTATCAGATCAAAATGTTTAACACTATGATTTTCTCATTGTTTTAATTGAGTATTATTGCATCCAAATATCTCATAATGTGTGAAAAGTTCTAGGCCCTTGTCAGGCTATAAATACGTGTTTGAAAGGTAGTTCAAGTTAAAAATAGTTAGGTAAGTCAGATAGAGAAGTATATCTAGACTGTGTGATTGTCAGTTCAGCCATAAAGAGCATATAGTGGCACTTTTTCTAAAGTGAAATTATCACAGATTGTATTGTAATAACAGAGTAATTAACAGAATAATAATTGTGTTCTAAAGTAACTGAACCAGACTATGTGAACTTTGACAAAAAGCAAACAATTATTTAAAGCTCTGGCTACAACTGTGGTAACCAACAGTGTAACAAACATTTGTATATATGTTTGACTTATTTTAATATATTATTTTAAATCAAGAAGGCAGGCCTAATAGTCAACTGAATTAAAATTTTTTTAGCAAAAATTCCACTGAAAATGTTTTTTTATTTCAAGAACAGAGGTAGAAACTAAACAAGTTTCATCCACAAATAACTTTCAAGCACTTTTCAAGAACCAATCTGTTGAAATACTCGTTTTCCAAGACTGGGAACTTTCAAACAAAATTCAAAAAACTCTCCCGATTGTTAAGCACCTGTACAAACCTTTAAATACACCTCCACCATAGCCTCCAGTGTAAACCCAGGCAGTGTTGTCATAGCTTAAACCCCACACTACTCCAGCCGGGCAAGTTTCAGCAATATTCAAGTGACCACCTCCAAGCAGTCGCCAAATCCTGCAGAAATAATAAGTGATTTGGAGGTTTTTCAGTATAAACAAATGTTACTGGAACTAATAATCTTCTTTAGTGCATCTAATAATATTTCCACTTAATTTGTAGTTTGTTTTCTCATTTTTCATAAGTGATCTCATAGAAATTATAAGCCTTTTATAAATTTTAAATCCATTTTCAACTATAGTAGATAGCGGAAAAGTCAGGTTCTCGTCACTCGAAGAAGGGTTTTAAAATTATTACCAATACAAGAAAATTAAATTATAAAATTTTACACAAAGAAAAAATCAATCACAATCTAATTTCTATTATTTAACTCAACTACCGCGGTGTTCATATCATTAGAGACCGTTGTTATAGGTACCGTAAAATTAAATCACAATTCTTGTACGCTTTATCTACCTTGTAGTTAATTACTAACTGCTAACTATATTCAAGGATTCGTTTCACGATGAATTATTACTTATTAATTTCACAATCTGCCATGTAAATAAGCATTAAACAATAACAGCTGTTTAAAGAAAGTCAGATGACAGGTAAAGGTGAGACTTTCTCCACATAACCCTGAAAACCTCTATTATATAAGTTCACATTTGAAGAAAAGGTGCTTATGGTTTTATTTCCACAAATGATACTACTCTCTATTATATGGTAATTAACATAATGCATAAGTCGGTACTGTACTGTCTAATATATGGTAATTAACATAATACATAAGTCGGTACTGTACTGTCTAATATATGGTAATTAACATAATACATAAGTCAGTACTGTACTGTCTAATATATGGTAATTAACATAATACATAAGTCAGTACTGTACTGTCTAATATATGGTAATCAACATAATACATAAGTCGGTACTGTACTGTCTAATATATGGTAATTAACATAATACATAAGTCGATACTGTACTGTCTAATACATGGTAATTAACATAATACATAAGTCAGTACTGTAAGAAACAAATTAGTGATGGTTATTTGATGATTAAAATAACTAAATAAAATGTAAATGTATGTTTCAGACAATATTGCAAGAATTCAGAGAAAACTCTCTGTCTTGATCTTTTTTTTCTTATCCTAGGCTACGTTTACTAATGAGTGGTAGTGTTCTGGTTCTAAGTAAAACCTACTCAAGTGACTGTTACGCCAAGTAATACTTCCAGAACGACCAATAAAGAGAGTTCCAATCAAATTGTTACAAGACTTACTTGATCAATAATTCATAATTCCAACAATTGTACATATAAAATATAGAATAACTACGTTCGAAGTTACAAACATAAAAGATCAGAGAGTCGAAACAAGGTTGAGAGTCCACAAGTTGAGATTTCAAAGACTTTCTTCAGCTCCATAACAAATGATATGAATGTCACTCACCTGTACCTGGTTGATACAACAGCAGGAAGAATTATTTAAACAAAACTTGCCAATATTTCATTTACCAATTTCTGGTGAAGGAAAAAAAAGACAAGGCTTTTGTTTAGGTTTGTTTGTTTGTTTGAAATTAAGCACAAAGCTACACAATGTGTTCTGCTCATTGTAAGTCTGCATACATACTGCTGTGCCACTGGGGCACCTTTTGTTTAGAACTGATCTTCAAATTTAAAGTAAGAACACCATCCCTCATCAATGATCCTGTGCTTGGAAGAAGAAAAAAACATGAAGACTGAACCATTCTCTGAACACTTGTAGCAGCACGTAAAGAAGATCTTAATACAACAGTCAATACGTTAATTATTTTAAACATAAAATAATCACTACTGTCACATGTGATGCAAAAGTGTTCCTTTACTCAGATTGTCTTCAACTTTCAGGAATGGCAATTATTCAAAGTACGAAATTGATCCAAAGTTTTATTTACCATATCTAACACTTGCCCTAACATTCATTAACATTTTTGTTGGAAAAATAAAAAAATTTCCAGTATTAAAAAAAAAAAGAATACTTTAATTTTTTATATCATTACAATATCGTCGTTTCTAAACCAGTAATGTGATATACAGCTAAATGAATGTTTTTTTATAAATGCAAAAACAAAACAGACCTAATAAAGATATTATAAACTACACAGTTAACTTACCTGTGAGCAGAGGGACTACCTTGCATAGTATTCTTTGAACCGTGAACATAAACATCACCTTTAAAAGTGGTTGACCAAACAGCAGAGTTTGGAGGTCGCCCAAGAAGGGAGTTAATGTCTGCACAAGACTGATTCAGTGTGGCTAGCTGCATTAAGAAAATACTTTTCATGAAGTCTGTGTTCCATGATTATTACATCTAGCATTCGGCAGTAGGTAACATTATAATTACTTCAGGAAAATAATTCCGTTTACATCAAACACTCTCCAAACTTGCTACTGTTTTAATTCTGTATTTAAAAACACGTGTGCATGACTGAAGTTAAAACTCAGGGAAAATACTTTTCATGAAGTCTGTGTTCCATGATTATTACATCTAGCATTCGGCAGTAGGTAACATTATAATTACTTCAGGAAAATAATTCTGTTTACATCAAACACTCTCCAAACTTGCTACTGTTTTAATTCTGTATTTAAAAACACGTGTGCATGACTGAAGTTAAAACTCAGGGAAAATACATAAATGAGGAAAATTAACAGAAAAAAT